AATAGAATAGAATAGAATAGAATAGAATAGAATAGAATAGAATAGAACTCTTTATTGGTCAATTGTGATTGGACACATAAGGAATTTGTCTTGGTGCAAATGCTCTCAGTGTACATAAAAGAAAACATGTTTTAACTACCAATGAGACATTTGCTCTCACTTTATCTCTGTACTTCGAAAAATGGATGTTCCCTTTTACTATAGGTGTGGAAGTTGCCATTTTCCCTATAAGTTTGTGGGTAACTTTACTAGGCCTATGGTCCTTTCATTTATTTATTTTTTGAAAATTTTATTTGGGTTTTCACAAAAACAAAATACAAATAAAACGTCTTTTTTGAAAATAGCATGGTCCCAGGTTATCACTTCTTCATACAGACACAAAACTCAATTTCATGCTCATTTTTATATTCTGTTCCATATCTTATTACCATTTTACATTTTCTACATAGTTTTTCCCCTCTTCTAATTTTCTCCACTTTGTTTTGATTATCTCAATTCAAATCATTATATTTATACTTTTGTCTGTCCTGTTACAATTTCACATTATCTTTTCTTATTAAACAAATTTTTCCCTGTAGTTACTAATTAGAGTATGACACCTTTATATCCTTTAATTTTATCCATTCAAGCTCTTATTTAAGCTTCAATGTATAGCTTTAAGATTATAGCATTCAATATAATACATAACTTCCAATCGAATTCTGCTTGGTACATTCTTAAAATAGACACTATATTCTTAAAAAGAAAAAATTACATATATATGTAAATAAAACACATTCCATTCCAATTCAATTCTATCATTAATATGCATTAAAATCTTAACATCTTTAACATTTCTTTTCAATTGAATATCATACTTCCTTGGGAACACTTATAAACTTTCCATAGTTAATTCTTTTTTTCCCCATATTTCTCACTTATATTTTTATAAATCATTACTAATAATTAAAAATGTTCCCTTTTAATTCTCTCAATCATTTTAATTCATTTATTTATTAACAAACATCCCACTACATTACAATAAATATTTTATCCATCATTATATTTTCTAAAGTTATTTCTATTTGTAATATAACAAAGCTATCTTATGTACCTTTGCAGAATCCCTTTTACAATTAAATTTTCACCCATTATCTCTAAACAAACTTATGGTTACAATCCTTATAGCTTTTCCCTGTTTCTCCATTTCTTGTTTCTGTTTTTTACAACTTCTTTTCCTTGCCTTCTTCCCCCTCTTCTTCTCCCTCCCCTTTTTACCCCCTCGTCTCTCTACTTCTAACTCTCTCATCTGTAATCCCCTCTTCTGTTGCTTTCTAATATTATATTTATCTTTCAAATTGTTCTTCTTCTTTTTGGTTGTTTTTTCTAATCTTAAACCTTTCATTCTCTTTTCCCCCCCTTTTCTTTTTTCCCCCCACTTAAAATTATTTGATCATTAAAGATGGCTTCTTCTTTGTCCCAATCTTCTTGTTCTGCAAGCGTTTCTTGTTGCTTCTCATAGTTCCAGATCTCCATTTCTAAGAATTGAAACATGAAGCCAAAAGAACTTCTCCCTTCTTGTGCGTCTTCTTTCCATTTTTTAAGTTCCATTTTCAGTTCTTCTAAGAGTGATACCATTTTAAAAACTTTTAAACAACCACCCGGTTAATTTTAGTCATCTAGATGCAAAAACCAAAAATCACCAAGTAATCCAAATAATCCAAGGCTGTTTCTACTTGCTTCTTTTTTCCACTTTCTCTTCCTGGGGTTCTATTATTTTGTTACCAAGTTTCCATTAAAATGTATCTTTGAGGAATCTTGTTTAAATTTCACTGTAAGTTCCTTTTAATTACAGTTCCATTCCTTAATTCCAGGCACTCCTCCATTTTTCCAGATCCTGCCCTTCTATTCTTTTTTTTTCTCCTTTCCAGCTTTTAAAAACTTTTAAATGTCCAGAAATCTTTATTTATCCCTTTGACTTTTATTTTCAGCTTAGATGCCTATTAATGTCAAAGTGGATTTTTTTTCAGTTTCTTGCTTTAAGTCTCTTAGCTGTCAGTATAAGGAAGGGAAGAAAAAAAAACCCTAATCCTTTCTCTTCTCTCTCTCCTTCGCAGCTTCAAAATCTTCTTTGGGAACAATGTTGTTAAGTTTAAATTCCAGGGTACCTTATTTGTTGCTTTTGCTGTTTGACCTGGTCAACCAAAACTTTCTCTTCTTATCTTCCTCCTGGAGATTCTTTTCCAGTCGAGTTCTTCTTTGTGGTGGCCATTTTTGACCACCGCTACAACCGCCTTCGGGAAAGAGAGTAATGGCCAGCTGGGGAGGAGAGATGCGGCTCTCCTCAACCCTGCAGGCAGTCTCCCCCCTCTTCACCACCTCTACGGGGTGACTTAGCCCCGAAACCAGCCGGCTCAGGGCGCTCCAGCGGCGAGCACGGATCAAAGCCTCGGAGGGACGAGGTTTCGGTCTTTTCGCCAAAGAAGCTCAAACCGGAAGAACTGGTCCTTTCATTTTTGATGGGCCTAGAAGTTTACAATCATATATCAGCAACCAATGCTGACCTTCTGAAGTCATGGGTGCTTCATCACTGGACGCTTTCAAGAAGAGACTGGACAGCCACCTGTCAGAAATGGTATAGGACCTCCTGCTTGAGCAGGGGGTTGGACTAGATGACCCACAAGATCCCTTCCAAGTCTGTTATTCTAATCAATGCAATGAATGGATCCACTGTAACTACAGGGCCCAGCATTTTGTTTTGCCCCTTTGACATCAGTGTGTGCAGGTTAAAAGCACGTACAGTACGATGGAATCATTGTTAAACTATAGAGGGCTGAATAAAGGCTACAGTCATTGAAAACCAAGAAAGTCCAGTTGCCTTTTTCAAAAGCACCTTTGGGGCATTCAAGTAGGTGACGTACCAACAATATAGCGCAATACAATATTGTGTATTCCATGCAATTGGCTTTCTTCGCATCAGTAAAATAACTTGTCTGAGCTGTATCTTTTGTTTCTTTTATTAGTCTTTATCACTCAAGGATGTGAAACTTCATGCATCACTGCGTGACGTTATCCTCTCAAGCTTCAATCTCACAGCTGGTACAATAATACCTTCCCAAGCAGGATACAATCTTTCCATTACAGAGTCATTGAGTCATACTTTTCTCATTGTAAGTATCAATTTGCTTGACGCAGCCTGTTAGCCATGAACTTCTATGTCTTATCTTTTTGGATAATGTTGAAACAGTAGTGGATTTGTGGCATTTCTTAAGCCTTAAACTAGTTGAATTACAGCTCATTTGCAGTGAATGATAAACTAAAGCTCCTTGGTTTACTTTTACTGCACCAGGTTTCTGAACCGATTAACAATACAGTGATTGTTGAATGGGATATTCTGGCTTCCAATGGGATTATTCATGCTATTCAGAGTCCATTGAAGGTTCCTCCGCAGTATAACCAGGTTAGTTACCAGTTTCTTTTCTTGAGAAACAAGAAAATATTTTGCATTCTTTCCCTATTTTATGAATTAAGATCTGAGTAGTATTCTGCAAGTTTATATATTTATTTATATCCCATCTTTATTTTTATTTTTTTACAAACAGCCCAAAGAGATGAACATATCCAACACATTTTCCTTCTCCTGTTTTCCCCACAACAACAACCCTGTGAGGTGGGATGCACTGAGAACGAGTGACCGGCCCAAAGTCACCCAGCTGGCTTTCATGGCTAAGGCAGGACTTGAACTCAGTCTCCTGCCTTAACCAATTGAACCAGAGATGGTATTCAGCAGGTTCTGACCAGTTCTGGAAAACCGGTAGTGGAAATTTTGAGTAGTTCGGAGAACCAGCAAATACCACCTCTGACTGGAGATTTACAGTATCCTTCCCCTGCCACAGCCACCAAGCCATGCCCACAGAACCAGTAGTAAAAATTTTTGAATCCCACCACTGAATAGAACAAACAAAACTAGTTTTAAATGGTAGCTCTCACAGGATTTGAGCATTTTAATCATATTTTTCATTAAACTCCATGCAGTCTTGGGAAACTTCACAAGATTTGATAATATCCTGCAATTTAAGCATATCTCTAACCATGTCTCTGATGCCCAAAGAGATGGACTCTTTGGGAATCAGAACAAATTGTACTGAGCATTGCAAATATGAGTCCAAATAACTTTTTTTAAAATGCAAAATTAATGTTCTCAGTCTGTATCATTGAACATAAATCATTCAGACACAGAACTTTCCAATTCTTCCTTCCCACTTCAAAATTTGCTCTTCCCCAGGATGGTAGTGATCATAGATTATCTAAAATGTATCTAAAATGGCAGGCAATATGGTGGTACTTTTTGTTTTTTCGCAAGTAGAAATAATTTTCTACTTCTAAAGACTAATGGAATACATTTTTTGAGCAAAGGTAATATGATAGAAGAAAGAATTGGTTTTCCTTGAGTTCATAAGACTGTTTAAGACGCAACATAATTATGAATGTTGGCAGTGAAAAGTGAAAAGTGAGAGAAGTGGCAGAAATGGAGGCAGTGGAAGAAGAGAATCCATCTCTTTGGGCATCAGAGATGTGATCAGGGGTGGGTTTCTACTGGTTCTGTCCACCTCTTTAGAACCGGTAGCTCTGAAGAGCAGCAGACATAGAACCGGTTCTATGTCTGCTGATGTTTTTGCCCACCCACCCAACCAGGCTCTTATCTGATCTTTATATCCTGATTTTTCAACTTCAGCTGCCGAACGAGGCACAGCTGCAGTTAAAAAAACAGGAAAAGAGGGCTGTTTCAAAGGCTGCATCTCTGCACACAGCATGCTGATGACGATTTACAGGCGCGTGGCTCACAGCGTGCAGGGAAGCTCGTAAATCCTGAACCGATAATTAACCCTATCGTATCCCACCCCCTGGACATGATTGGAGACACGGTTAAATTGCACAATATTACCAAATCTTGTGAAGTTTCCCAAGATTGCATGGAGTTTGACAAAAAATAGTATTAAAATGGTCAGATCTTGTGAGATCTACCATTTTAAAATAGTTTTGTTGTTATTAAATTTCTGTAAAGTTGATCTTTATAGAGGATGAAATAGATCTATTTGGTTTTCATTACTGCTGTTCCCATTCAGCTTGCTTTGCTGATTTTATTGCTTTTCTTAAAAGTCCCTACTATTTCATTTCTTGCCCTTTCCCAAGGACAAAGGGTCAGCCTGTCAGTAAACACTGAAACATTCATCAACCCCAGGTCTGTATATTTCCTATAAAAATACAAGGTTCCACTTTAGCAAATGCTGCAGTGCATTTATAATTTAGCATCCTGGAACTGAATTACGTTCTCCAAGCACGTGTTTCCTTACAGCATTAGCACACAACTAGACATAATGATCTAATCCTTCAGAAACATTGTTATCAGTCTAATTTAAACAAGATCTACAAATGAAGTTGCATACAATTTTCTCCAAAGCCAGATGAATCTTTCATGTTGCTTTTTCATTCTAGCCGATATGAAACATTAGCAGAGTAAACAAAACAATAAAAAGTGAAGATTGTTAACAGTAATACAGACTACTTTAATTTATGTATATCTTTTTAAATAGTTATACATAAAACCAAAGCGCTAAGTACACAACTATCACAAGAAGCTTAGCTTTTATTTTGCTTTGTCTTTTTAAAAAAATCTTATGTTAAAGATGTTTGAAAAACGCATTTACATTTCATAAAATCAGCAGAGTCCTCTTTTTAATATCAGGTTGTGCTTTTTGCTATTCTGAGCACATTGAAATTTAATTTGGGGGTCCAAAATGAACAGTGATAATTTATCATTAAGATATGACTTGAAAATAGCATTGCTTTTTACAGGTTTCGAGTACTGTAAAACCATCTGCTGCTATGACAATTGGTATAAGCACCGGTTTTGCTATAGTTCTGCTCTGTGCAACTATTGCTGGATTGTCCTATTTCTGCCTCAAAAGGAGAAACCAACTGATCAGCTCTCGCTATTTTAGGGTAGGTAAATCCAAGCCTTAGCTTTGCTTGTAACCGTGTGTGTGTGTTTGTGTGTGTTATCAAAAATGAAATATTATTAGTATATTGAGAGAGACACAGATTCCATAGCCACAGTTTCAAAATTATATATATATAAAGCTAACCAGGGTCAAACCTAGTTAGAACTTGGATGGGGTCATCAAATCTAAGTTGTCCAGGAAAGTTGAGAAACAGGAAAGCAAGAACAAACTGTCTCCATATTGTTGCTAAGGAAATTATACACTGCTCAAAAAAATAAAGGGAACACTTAAACAACACAATGTAACTCCAAGTCAATCACACTTCTGTGAAATCAAACTGTCCACTTAGGTAGCAACACTGATTGACAATCAATTTCACATGCTGTTGTGCAAATGGAATAGACAACAGGTGGAAAGCATAGGCAGTTCGCAAGACATCCCCAATAAAGGAGTGGTTCTGCAGGTGGTGACCACAGACCACTTCTCAGTTCCTATGCTTTCTGGCTGATGGTTTGGTCACTTTTGAATGCTGGCGGTGCTTTCACTCTAGTGGAAGCATGAGACGGAGTCTACAACCCACACAAGTGGCTCAGGTAGTGCAGCTCATCCAGAATGGCACATCAATGCGAGCTGTGGCAAGAAGGTTTGCTGTGTCTGTCAGCGTAGTGTCCAGAGCATGGAGGCGCTACCAGGAGACAGGCCAGTACATCAGGAGATGTGGAGGAGGCCGTAGGAGGGCAACAACCAGCATCAGGACCACTACCTTTGCCTTTGTGCAAGGAAGGACAGGAAGAGCACTGCCAGAGCCCTGCAAAATGACCTCCAGCGGGCCACAGATGTGCACGTGGCTGCTCAAATGGTCAGAAACAGACTCCATGAGGGTGGTATGAGGACCCGACGTCCACAGGTGGGGGTTGTGCTTACAGCCCAACACCGTGCAGGACGTTTGGCATTTGCCAGAGAACACCAAGATTGGCAAATTCGCCACTGGCACCCTGTGCTCTTCACAGATGAAAGCAGGTTCACACTGAGCATATGTGACAGACATGACAAGGTCTGGAGACGCCATGGAAAATGTTGTGCTGCCTGCAACATCCTTCAGCATGACCAGTTTGGCAGTGGGTCAGTAATGGTGTGGGGCGGCATTTCTTTAGGGGGCCGCACAGCCCTCCATGTGCTCGCCAGAGGTAGCCTGACTGCCATTAGGTACCAAGATGAGATCCTCAGACCCCTTGTGAGACCATATGCTGGTGCGGTTGGCCCTGGGTTCCTCCTAATGCACGACAATGCTAGACCTCATGTGGCTGGAGTATGTCAGCAGTTCCTGCAAGATGAAGACATTGATGCTATGGACTGGCCCACCCATTCCCCAGACCTGAATCCAATTGAGCACATCTGGGACATCATGTCTCGCTCCATCCACCAATGCCACGTTGCACCACAGACTGTCCAGGAGTTGGGGGATGCTTTAGTCCAGGTGTGGGAGAAGATCCCTCAGGAGACCATCCGCCACGTCATCAGGAGCATGCCCAGGCATTGTAGGGAGGTCATACAGGCACGTGGAGGCCACACACACTACTGAGCCTCATTTTGACTTGTTTGAAGGACATTACATCAAAGTTGGATCAGCCTGTAGTGTTTTTTTCCACTTTAATTTTGAGTGTAACTCCAAATCCAGACCTCCATGGGTTGCTAAATTTGATTTCCATTGATAATTTTTGTGTGATTTTGTTGTCAGCACATTCAACTATGCAATGAACAAAGTATTTAATAAGAATATTTCATTCATTCAGAACTAGGATGTCTTATTATTCTTGTGTTCCCTTTATTTTTTGAGCAGTGTATTTTTCTGTCTATGCCATCCCTAGGAGTCAAACTTGGCTTGCAGAAGATTTTATTTAATAATGTAGTGATCAATTTTTTGGACTTTTCCAGCTAAAAAAATTAATGTTGCAAGTTGCCTGAAATCACTGTCTGAGTTAGAAAGCTATATAAATTGTGTTTCATTCATTCATACAAACATACATGCACATACATACATACAAAATCTCAGATTAGTTTTAAACTTCCTTGGCTAAATCACTTTGTCTCAGCTGTCTATTCCGTTTCACTGAAGCATGCCGATTCATTTTTACCGTACAGTTTGAAGAACAAAGTCATGCTTAATCTGTTTACTTATAGGCTGAACTAGATGATGATGAACCTTTTTGGCAGGAAAGGAGCCCACATTTAGTATCCATTCCAAATCCTATTTATGGAGCAGATAGCTCAATCTATGAGCCATTTGAGGTAAGACAACTGAAGCATTAGTGCTGAATATTTTTAGATACCAACCTATAATGCAGTTGTTATCTACATTGCAACCAAAGCTAGGGATAGGCAAATTGTTCCCATACATGGCATACTCTGTGCATAAAATGACTGCTTTTGAATGATTCCTTTGTGGAGCCAAATCCATGGGCTTCACCTTCAACATTACTGAGTGGGAATTGCCTATTTTAGATGGAATCTTGCGCAGATGGGAAAAAATGTATTTGAACACGCCATTCCGCTTTAGTTCCTCCGATTGTAACCAGAACATGTAAAATGTGTTGTCTTTTGAATGCACCTATGAAGTCCAATATAACTGGAGGAACTGGTCATATTCTGTTATAGGTTTTAGCTGTCTGAATACCAATATGAAGTCAGATGTTTTATTTATTAAATTTATGTGCCACTTATCTCAATGTTACAGATTAACTGACCGTTTTTATATCTTTGTTTCAGGAGTCTCTCCACAGAGAAGATTTTGTCGATACTGAAGACATTCTTGGACAATAATATTTTTTTATAATACAAACCAGGATACAAAAATTCCAGGAATTTTGAAAAGCTATACCTCAATTCTATTCCTTTTAAAGTTTATGGGAAAGAATTATGATCGAAAGAGCTATTGGCATTTACAGTCATAAACAATTTCCAATTTTTTGTTTAGAATTCATTCCCTCATGTTGTATTGCCTCTTTTTAGAGATCTTCAGGAATAAATTCTGAGTATAACTGTAATATGAATGGAAAAAACTTGAAGATGTATGTAGCATGCACAGAATCCTTTGGATCCTGTCCATGAAACTTCAATCATCTACTTAGGAATGAGTCATGAATGTGTCTGGCAAATGGATACTGTGAGAACCCTAAATGGGCCAATGAAACTTCAGTTCAGATTTAATGAATTGATAAATTTACTTTGCAACTGCACTACTGAGCTTACCGGTAAACTGTACACCAGCACATATTTGTAAGCATTCTGAATTTTAATGCACTGTAAAGCAATTCTTAACATTTTTTACTACTAGGTAAGCATGATTACATCAACATGCTATCAGTAAAGATGCCAATTATCTCTCTCTGCCTTATAATTAGTATTGTTTCTTTCTCTCTTTCAATGAAGAAAAACCAAAATATATTAATTGTAGGACTATTCCATAATGAAACAATGCATTATTTTTGTAAAAAATAAATGGTGTTATGCCTAAGAACCAAACCCATCAAAATCTCACCTTTCAACACAAATATTGTCATTCCAATATCATGTATTTGAACATTCCATTTAGACCAAGAATTGGAAATTATTCTTACACACACAATTCTGGAAAAGATAAACACAATAGTTTATTTTGTGGACAGACTCAGAAATCAGAATTAACCCAATTGTACCCAATTTTGAAAAAATATCAAATTATAGTCCATGTTTTAAATAATATTAAATATGTATTAAATACATATTAAATAATATTTCTAAACTATCTAGCTTTTGCTGATCAGCCTACCTTTAAAAGGAACAGACACTGTCTCATCGTCTTTATCGAACATAGTTTAGGAAGTTAACTGGTATTTTAATGATTTCACATTTAGAAGATAAACCAATTAGGCCTCATCAGTATTGAAAAATGGCAGCTATTTTTCAGAGAAATGCCTAGCTCAAGCTACAATACTGCACCATTGTGGTATCCCTACTTTCATCTACGCTGATGCCTATTTCATGATGCAGCTTCTACCTTTTGCTCTCAATGTCCTTTTAGAGGCAAAATTAATCAATGAAATATTTCTCATGGATTGGCAAAGCTAAAACACTGTCTTAGAGAGAGAAGGAAGGGACAGATATCTCCAGATAAAAGTTCCAGAAATGCAACCCTAGTTGATGGCAACATCCATGATTTTTCCTAATATAACAATTTTCTATAGAACAGACACTTGCAGAGAATCATCATATACATTCCTATTTTCCATACATAACTATGGCAAAGTTAGCTTGTGCGCGCAGTGGGTCTTTCCCCTGAAATGGCAGTACAAAGTGCAAAAGTCCTAACTTGGGTAGGGGGTTCATTTTCCCCAAGTCTTCACGTTAGTTTGAGGGGTAGATAGAAAAGAAATATCAAATAGCCAACAGCATTCTTAGCAATCTGTCATGATCCATATGCTATAAAATGCTGCAATCCTAATCATCACAGTGTTGTTGTTTTTTAAATTGGGTAGGAGGCAACTTATTTGATAATGCTTCAAAAGTTTGACAAGCAAGGCACTTTTTGAAAAACTAAAAAAAAATATGTGAAGGAGTACAATATACAACATCTGATTTCCAATTTGTAATCGTCTTGCATCTAGCATCCAGGAGACAACCCAATGTGATCCTAACATGAAATCACAAATTACAAACATAGTAACTACTCAAATATTTCTTTGGTTCAGTATCTTGTTGGAATATTCAAGCGTTCTTCCGTTCCTTGAAAGCCAATGCCTCGAAAACCATCTCTAGTAAGAATCTGAATAGTTCTGAATAGTTCTAAGTAGCCTTGGTCAATCGTTATGTCATTTATAGATATAACTTGAATTATAGCAGCATTATAGACCCTAACAGGTAAAATCTAACACACAACAGTTTGACCTTAATATAAACAGTTTCCTAAGTCCAGCTTCAAATAAGAGCTTCCAATTCAAGGACATTCCATTGTTAATATGTATTTCTTATATCTACCTCTGATACACAATGGTCCTGACTGGCAATAGTTCATGATCAAATGCAGAAAAAATAGAGCCCCACAACATTTACATCTGATGTAAGACATACAGTAAGTCTTCTGTGGGTTAAAAAAAAGAGCATATCTGAACTAAGTTTAAAAGATCATGGTAAGTCCGGACAAATTCTGAAACACAAAACAATTTAGTTTTGATGACTATTATTTTTATACTAGATAAGCTTCTGACTTGTTTTCTGATTATTGTTTTAGCTCTTGCTGATTTGTGGGCTGTTAGTGATAGAACAGAGGAAAAATCCTTTCCATGATAGTTGGGTAATGGCTCTAGCAATCATGATTTTAATCTTTTATTATTTTATTAATCTTTTATTATTCTAGTCATGCATACAACATCTGGAGGACAGGTTAATCTGTGCATCTTATCTGTGCTTAGATGTCTAAAAATTCTTATAAATTCTGTAGGTAAATTAGCATTTTATGAAATAGGTTATTCAACTAAAGGTAATTTATTCAGCTACTGTTATGAAAAACTGCTTTTTTGTATTTTAAAAAGGGGTATTTTAATATATAAATATACATCATCTGATAAATTCAGCATCAAGCGATGGCTTGAATTTGTAAATGAGCCATTACACACTTAGTATCACATTAACTGATGTTACCAAATAGTGAATCTGAGTGAAGTCACTTCACACATGAATGATTGAGTGTGGTTTAATGGCATATCTGGTTTATACGGACCTGTACTATACACCATTCTTTAGAAATACACCAGTTATAACTTCAAATTTGTGAACTGATTGGTGAACTGATTAGGAACTATTTAAATTTCTATTATTTCATATATTGTATAGGTGATGTAGCAAGGATTTGTGTGGAAGTTAAATTTTGAATATGTTGTTCTAAAGAAGAAATAGATTTATAATTTCTTTGCCAGAATCACTACAATCCAACCAACATGTAGAACCCTTCTGAGCACATAAAGACACCTGTGACTAAATTACAAATGCCAAATTCTTAGAGCTTAATCAAATATGGTTAATATATTTTACTACCAGGATTTCAGATGTAAAATTTAGGCCACCTTTCCATTCGTTTATCTCAGGTACCTTTCTATTAGGAAGTGCTCAGAACAGAAGTACAGCAGTGATCATATAGTAGCAGCAGCAGTCCCCTAAAAGGAAGCTAAGATTCTACTATGCATGTCATAATCCCTTTTATCGAATGTGCACCATTTCTTCTAAGAATGGAGTCTTCATGCAACCTGTGCAGAGCTGATCCATCCAAAGAGGAGCTTCATGTTGAAGAGGCGTTCGGCGAGGATAAAATGTAAAATTCACATCATAGTTCAGTAGGCAACTGATGGATGCCATGTAAATATCAGAAAAACGAATCAGTCTTCGAGAAAAGTAGGTTGGGTTGTGGAAGGTTCGAAAAATGCTACCAAACTGGGGGTTAAACAGGTTCTTTGCAAGTGACCTGAAAGGAAAGAAGTTGATATAATAGAATTAGATAGAGAACCTGGGAGAGGAAGAGAAGAGAATATAGAAAATGTACTAATGAGCCACCTTATCCTGCTACCTCCAGAAGACAGAAGACACCTTATCCTGCTACCCCCATAAATGTTGATCTCTAGTTTTGGTTGGACAATGTCCTAGTTCCATCCCAACTGTCATTTTTTTCCCTTTCTGACTATCTTAGAAAATGGTTTGTTTCTTCTTTTAGAGCACAAGGAACAAAAAAGATGGGACAATAGTCAGGAACTTTTTAAAAATGAAGCATAAAGGGATTCAAAAATTTTGAGAGAAAATATGATTCCGGGAAAAAGAAAACAAACAAAAGTCAGCCATGAGGGAAAGTAAAATCAAAGAAATAAAAAAACAACTCTTCACCAAGGCCAAAAATGAGAAATCTAGAAGTTCCAAACCTGACCAATTCTTTATCTTTCCACAACATAAAAATATTTTACAGGGCACCAATTAAGAAGTTGCAACAGTATGTTACTTAAAACAGAACATTATGTTTGCAATTTGTAAAGCGTACGTTTTAAATCATTCCTGGAATATTTCACCAATAAAAGAACACATCATCGTCAAGATAGCTCACCTAATCTCCTGTCGCTCTTTCATCCACTCTAAAAGCACTTGCTTTGATTCTGCATCTTGATACATCTAAAATTAAAAGAAGAAAATTAAAGCAAAAGACCAATGACCAAACAATGCTGTTTCTAAAGATTCTAAAGTTTTCTACAAGGTGAAAAATATTTCATTATTGCAAATTCCAATATTTGCAAAAAAGATTTCAGAACACAACACAATCAAGAAAGCCTATACAAGAATGGTGCTTAATCTAGTTGGAACTACGCAGTGGTGCCCACACACTAGCCCAGTCGTTTTTACCTGCATTCTCTCCAGAAGTCCTGTAAGAGCTTGCTGCCAGGTCAAAGAGTGCATATATTGTTCTGTATTGATAATTCGTATTTCTGTTTCCAATTCTGGAACTATGGCACCTGTCCTCCAACCATGACGTAGCATAAGGTCCTTAAACAGAAGAGGAAAAAGGCAGTGAAGTGACTTACTGACTTAGGATCAGTGGTGGGATTCAGTTTTTTTTTTACTACCGGTTCTGTGGGCATGGCTTGGTGGGCATGGCAAAAGGAAGGATACTGTAAAATCTCCAGTCGGAGGTTGTATTTGCCGGTTCTCCCAACTACTCAAAATTTCTCCTACCGGTTCTCCAGAACTGGACAGAACCTGCTGAATACCACCTCTGCTTAGGATCCTGTGAGTCAGCCTTACAGAAAAAGCCTTCAACAGTTCACTTACATATAGCTTCCCTTGCAGAATGAGGCATATCAAGATCACAAAGGGAGGGAGAAAATACCCATTTTTCATCCATTTTACAAAAATAGCCCTGCCTGCTTATTTGGGACATTTCTTTCTTATCCAGTGCAATCGGAAAGATTTGTATTTATATAAATCTTTATTTATTTATATAAATCTATACATCTTATAAATCTATGGGTTTTGCCTAAGTTACCAGTCTCATTAAGTATGATAACCATATGGCAGTTTTGGACTTTGAACTTGGAATGACCCTCCAAGATAGGAATGCATTGGCCCTGATACTAAAAATAATAATAATTCCAAAACAATTAATCTGTTCCTCAAGAATTGCAAAAAATGAGATGCCTCCCCCTTTTTTTATTTAATCCTTTCTTTCCATGAGATTTTCATAAAGAGAAAAACCCCTAATAATACAGAACGTTTAAAAACCACTATTCCTTGCGAACGTCTTTAAGAATTTGAGTACTTATCAGTAAAAAAAAAAAAAAAAGCTGAAGGGTGGTTTTAGCTTAATGGTATTAACAGAATGCCTGATGTTGCTGTACTATTTATAAAACAGCATCAAAGGAAAATTAATTAACTAGGCACAATAATGACATGCATTTAGAGAAAAGGTGCCTGTAGTCAAACAGATCTTGTCTACCTTAATATTTCAAGTGGTTGAAATCCCAAGGCCTGTTTTTTTTTCCTTTTCATATCCAAATGAAATATCAAGGTGGTTTCCATAAAGCACAATGCATGTCTAAAATTATGACAACAAGCACTCTAATAAAGAAGCCAATGTTATCATTGAATAAAAATTAAATAAAGCAGGACTCTGAAGAGATCTCATAATAGTGGCATGTCCCAAGATAGCTATGTGTGCAGAGAGCTGTGTTGACACAAACATAGCAACCTGAAGTGTCAAGCAGCAGACTGGAGCCCTTCAGATCTACGTGTATGATCATGGTTCTGTATGGTTCAGCGAGGAGGTACAAGCTCACAAAAGATCAAGACTCACTGAATCCAGTGGAACTTATTTCTGATTGAACAAGCCCAGCTATGGGCGGCACATAACAAGTGACTCATGCAGCACAGATCCATACTCTCCTCAGTTTAAAAAGATACTATATCTTCAAAACTTTTGAAACTTTAGTTTTAAAATTCATGGTGAACTGCTGGTACATATGGCTTCTTCCACTTTTCTTTTTTAGATGAAGCATCCTTCATTTTCATGCCCCCACCCTACCTCCCCAAACGAAATATAACAATAAAGTATGCTGCAGCATTGCTGTCATAAGAGATGAGAGTTGGGCGTCACCATAAAATATTTCTACAGTCTGCGCTGAAATGTCCATAAATCAACATTCCATTTACATATGAGGATGAATCCTAGTAGAAAATTAATTGGGGCAGAAATGTTTGCCTTCTCAGATAAAATAGATGATAGATGATAGATAGATAGATAGATAGATAGATAGATAGATAGATAGATAGATAGATAGATGATAAATAGAGATAGAGAGATATAGATAGTAGATAGATTGATAGGTAGATGATAGATATGATAAATAGATAAATGATAGATAGATGATAAATAGATGATAGATAGATAGATAGATAGATAGATAGATAGATAGATAGATAGATAGATAGAATGGATGAGATAGATAGATAGATAGATAGATAGATAGATAGATAAAGATAGATAGATAGATAGATAGATAGATAGATAGATAGATAGATAGATAGATGAATGATAAGATAGATGGATAAATAGCACAATTTTGATTTTAAAATAAGAAAGTTGTTACAAACAAATTAAGGAAAAAAAGATTATTATTTTTTAAAAAGATGTTACATATGTACTTAGGATGGGAAAGGTATTTGAAAGAATACAACCAAGAGAAATAAATCTGTAACTCTATTTTGCTTTTTTAAACTTGGTTCAAAAGGAACTGTATAATATAATTTAATGGGTATGGATACTGCAAAATCACATGCTGTAAGATCTGGATGTTTTCCCTTCTGTATCTTGATAAACAACACTGATTAATTCAATGAGCACAAAACAAACCCTTTGTGTCTGTGTTGCAGACACCGAACATTAAGTGACACTGACGTCAGCTGATGAAAAAAAAAAAGTTTTGGAGCACTTACTGCAAGGTCACTGTACAAATGGTCACCAAAATAAAGGACCTTGGACCCACGCCAGCCTGTTAGCCGCAGAAAATCAAACAGATTGCCCTGAAATGTAGAAAAAAAGAAAGTGAGAATAAACCAAACATCCAGTTCCTTTACAGCAAAGGCAAACATTGCATGCTCGGCTTGAAAAGGTCAAGAAAATACATCTCTTAGCACTTTGATTTTTCTACAGAGCAAAGGAAAAAATATTTCTTCATCATGAGCTGGTTATTTTAAAATGGCTGCAGATAGAGGCTTGAGGAGTTCTCACGGGAACTTGAATCAAAATAGAGAAAATGGGAATTCCTTAAAACCAAGTTTATAATTTGTACAAATGATTGTCTTACTGTATTTTTTTTTCTTACACATACACACAAACACACACTGGTAGATGTCTAAAACAATTTATTGCAGCTATAATGGGAAAACTTTAAATTCACCCCCACTCACAATAATATAAATTAAGCCATTTGTGTCAGTAAACAAACTGAACAACTGTGATAGTTTGTTAGCGACTGAATTTGTGCTGACATATTGTTTTAAACTTGATATACTGAATCTACGTCCTCCTGTAATAATTCATACTTCAAAGCAAGGGTTCTCAAAGCAAGATGTAATTTTTTGGGGGTAAGGATTGCTGCAGACCCCTTATTTTATGGTTCAACCTTTCTGTGAACTTTGGCTGGACCTGATGATTCTTGACAAATGTATCTTTTCTTTTATGTACACTGAAAGCATTTGCACCAAGACAAATTTCTTGTGTGTCCAACCACACTTGGCCAATAAAGAATTCTATTCTATTCTATTCTATTCTATTCTATTCTATTCTATTCTAT